GATAATTAGTAGTGAGTACACACGAGGTGGGTGTATGTACAGATAATTAGTAGTGAGTACACACGAGGTGGGTGTATGTACAGATAATTAGTAGTGAGTACACACGAGGCGGCTGTATGTACAGATAATTAGTAGTGAGTACACACGAGGTGGGTGTATGTACAGATAATTAGTAGTGAGTACACACGAGGTGGGTGTATGTACAGATAATTAGTAGTGAGTACACGTGAGGTGGGTGTATGCACAGATAATTAGTAGTGAGTACACGCGAGGCGGGTGCATGCACAGATAATAAGTAGTGAGTACACACGAGGTGGGTGTATGTACAGATAATTAGTAGTGAGTACACACGAGGCGGCTGTATGTACAGATAATTAGTAGTGAGTACACACGAGGTGGGTGTATGTACAGATAATTAGTAGTGAGTACACGCGAGGTGGGTGTATGCACAGATAATTAGTAGTGAGTACACACGAGGTGGGTGTATGTACAGATAATTAGTAGTGAGTACACGCGAGGTGGGTGTATGTACAGATAATTAGTAGTGAGTACACACGAGGCGGGTGTATGTACAGATAATTAGTAGTGAGTACACACCAGGCGGCTGTATGTACAGATAATTAGTAGTGAGTACACACGAGGTGGGTGTATGTACAGATAATTAGTAGTGAGTACACATGAGGTGGGTGTATGTACAGATAATTAGTAGTGAGTACAGACGAGGTGGGTGTATGTACAGATAATTAGTAGTGAGTACACACGAGGCGGCTGTATGTACAGATAATTAGTAGTGAGTACACACGAGGTGGGTGTATGTACAGATAATTAGTAGTGAGTACACACGAGGTGGGTGTATGTACAGATAATTAGTAGTGAGTACACACGAGGCGGCTGTATGTACAGATAATTAGTAGTGAGTACACACGAGGTGGGTGTATGTACAGATAATTAGTAGTGAGTACACACGAGGTGGGTGTATGTACAGATAATTAGTAGTGAGTACACGTGAGGTGGGTGTATGCACAGATAATTAGTAGTGAGTACACGCGAGGCGGGTGCATGCACAGATAATAAGTAGTGAGTACACACGAGGTGGGTGTATGTACAGATAATTAGTAGTGAGTACACACGAGGCGGCTGTATGTACAGATAATTAGTAGTGAGTACACACGAGGTGGGTGTATGTACAGATAATTAGTAGTGAGTACACGCGAGGTGGGTGTATGCACAGATAATTAGTAGTGAGTACACACGAGGTGGGTGTATGTACAGATAATTAGTAGTGAGTACACGCGAGGTGGGTGTATGTACAGATAATTAGTAGTGAGTACACACGAGGTGGGTGTATGTACAGATAATTAGTAGTGAGTACACGCGAGGTGGCTGTATGCACAGATAATTAGTAGTGAGTACACACGAGGTGGGTGTATGTACATATAACATGCTAAAAGATTAAAATTACTGAAGAGATCTTGACTGCCTGTACAGTTACTGTAAATCACATGAGGTCACAGATAAAGCACTTGTTTTAGAAAATCAAAATTACCGAAAAGCTTTGATATGCTGTATTGCAATAACATCGATATATTATGACAAAAATATTTTAAAATGTATGCTATATAAGTATTCACTCTACAAAAATACCATCAAAATGGTAAATGCACAATGAGAGTAAGAGGCGGACAACAAATGTACTGTGACGTGTACAGGTTCCGTGGCGTGTTGAACAGTATTGGAGATGTGTTGTCACCGGGTTGTACGGCACGTCTTTCAAACCGTGAAGATCCGAGGTGATGGACCACGACACCCAATTAGTCAGATCCAAGCTGAGGGACAACGACACCCTACTTGTCAGATCCGAGCTGAGGGACCACGACACCCTACCCGTTAGATCCGAGCTGTGGGACCACGGCACCCTACCCGTTAGATCCGAGCTGTGGGACCACGACACCCTACCCGTTAGATCCGAGGTGATGGACCACGACACCCTACTTGTCAGATCCGAGCTGAGGGACAACGACACCCTACTTGTCAGATCCGAGAAGATGGACCACGACACCCTACTTGTCAGATCCGAGGTGATGGACCACGGCACCCTACTTGTCAGATCCGAGGTGATGGACCACGACACCCTACTTGTCAGATCCGAGAAGATGGACCACGACACCCAACTAGTCAGATCCGAGCTGAGGGACAAGACTCCCTACTTGTCAGATCCGAGGTGATGGACCACGACACCCCACTAGCCAGATCCGAGCTGAGGGACCACGACACCCTACTTGTCAGATCCGAGGTGATGGACCACGACACCCTACTAGTCAGATCCGAGCTGAGGGACCACGACACCCTACTTGTCAGATCCGAGGTGATGGACCATGACACCCCACTAGCCAGATCCGAGCTGAGGGACCACGACACCCTACTTGTCAGATCCGAGCTGAGGGACCACGACACCCTACTAGTCAGATCCGAGCTGAGGGACCACGACACCCTACTTGTCAGATCCGAGGTGATGGACCATGACACCCCACTAGCCAGATCCGAGCTGAGGGACCACGACACCCTACTTGTCAGATCCGAGCTGAGGGACCACGACACCCTACTTGTCAGATCCGAGGTGATGGACCACGACACCCTACTTGTCAGATCCGAGCTGAGGGACCACGACACCCTACTTGTCAGATCCGAGCTGAGGGACCACGACACCCTACTAGTCAGATCCGAGCTGAGGGACCACGACACCCTACCCGTTAGATCCGAGCTGTGGGACCAAGGCACCCTACTAGTCAGATCCGAGCTGTGGGACCACGACACCCTACTTGTCAGATCCGAGCTGTGGGACCACGGCACCCTACCCGTTAGATCCGAACTGTGGGACCACGGCACCCTACTTGTCAGATCCCAGCTGTGGGACCACGGCACCCTACCCGCTAGATCCGAGCTGTGGGACCACGGCACCCTACCCGTTAGATCCGAACTGTGGGACCACGGCACCCTACTTGTCAGATCCCAGCTGTGGGACCACGGCACCCTACCCGCTAGATCCGAGCTGTGGGACCACGACACCCTACCCGTTAGATCCGAGCTGTGGGACCACGGCACCCTACTTGTCAGATCCCAGCTGTGGGACCACGTCACCCTACTAGTCAGATCCGAGCTGTGGGACCACGACACCCTACCCGTTAGATCCGAGCTGAGGGACCACGACACCCTACTTGTCAGATCCGAGCTGTGGGACCACGGCACCCTACCCGTTAGATCCGAGCTGAGGGACCAAGACACTGAACACCTGTGTGCGGCCGATGTTGTATTCTGTGATGGGACACGACTGTTTGAGCAGATCTACTGCTTTACGACTTCATCTTACTTGCTGCGGTTACGACCGCACGACTATAAGGAGGGAAGTGATTCGCAGTCTGGTGCCCATCTCCACTGCTGCGGTCACGACAGCACGAGGTAAGGTGAGGTGTGGTGAGGTGAAATGGGTTTAACGTCGGGTAAGAATCGGCAGTCAGATGGTGTACGTACGCTGCACACCCTGCTAAATATAGTCACCTGACTGCCGACACTCAGGCGGATTGTAACCACGTGATCAAAACTCCATGATGTTTATCGCTAAAGAAATGGACATTCCTTCTAAAGCGAACATTGCAATTTTTGTCATTACTGTTAGTAATATTCCTTATCGGCCGAATGGCTTGTTTTTACTTTATAAGTGTTAGCACGAATACAGCTATCTCCGTTAATCAATCATCGCGAAAATTCGTGATTCTATTTCAAGTGGCCGAGGACTATATATAAAGTCCTGCTTTCTTGAATTAGGAAATGCGATTTCTGGAGATCTTGGAGCGTGTTTGACATCCACGATCACTGGATTCTGGCAGGTCTAAGGGGCGCAACTCTTGCACTGCGAATTTCGAGGTCAACCGAAGAAATTATCCGTGGCCTCTACATATTGTTCGAGAACTTTTTTTCTTTACGTTAGCAGATGTTTCTGATGTCACAGTTTGAGGGGCAGTCTATACCTGAGAAAATGTGCATTTTACTCCCATGAAAATATCACAGAAAGCATGTGAATTCAACTAATCGATACCCCCTGCCTTCCACCACACATAGCTCCATCTGTCCTTAAGTTAAAGCTTGTGCCTGTCACAGTCCATAAGCCAGCAGGTCAGTTTGAACCAGATTTCAGAGTTTTCAAGGGAATACAATATATCCAGGAAGCAGTTCCTCTTACACTATCTATATATAGGCACATGACGTGTTTATTTGTCCTTAAATGATACTGATTTGTGTCAAGCTCGGAAGTTGGGGATCGAGGAATGTCGCCCAGTCCCGAGAGAATAAATTAAAAGAGTCCAACTCAAGTCTGGAATGATTTGGCAAGTCTGGGTTGCCTCATATTGTTCTGGGCTCCATTTGATTTTATATATTAATAGATAGATATCTTTAAATAATCTTTAAATTTCTTGGACTAAATGTCAGCTCACACACGTTATACTGACCCGCTGACATTTTTACTAAACATATGATCCTTCTAGACAGGTACATTTCATGCGAACTGCACTGGAGCAGGCCTCCTTTCTCACAGTTCAAGTTAAGTAACGAGACTTTATTAAGGGATAGAAATTAAAAAGAAAGAAATCGGGACCACTTTAATAAGTGGTACCACATTAATATTTCATATAACTATAGTATACACCCACTGTCACGTCGAAGCAGAAAGCATACTTATCTTTTGTATATTAGCTCGGGATAAATCACCGTGATTAGAACATTCAAAGTTACTCTTTTCCCAGAGCTCACGTGTCAGCGTCGAACCCCTAGCCCCTGCTACACATAAAACAAAATGTGGCATAGTAACTTTTTCTGGAGATATGACAGCACTTCCCAGCTGACCAGAGCTCGCGCCACTGTTCGCCCAACTAACAGTAACAGGCGAGTACATTAAGCTGGAGAAGCTGTGTTTACCACTATCTCGTGGGTGACCCACTTTATCAACATTACGCATGCGCAGTGTGTCGCGTAAGTCCAGAGTGTAGCCCTTGAGGAAACAGAGGATATTGAAAAACACTCTTTTATTACATAATTCGTGCTTGTCAGTCGTGAGTAAGTAATTCCCACGATCGAGGAGTACCCCGACTGGCAGATGGGAGGTGACTGAACGAAGAGGATGATTCAAACCTCAGAAAAAGTGGACACAACCAGACCCCCAGTTGTCGGGCATATGAGCTTCGACCATAACCCTGTTGAGAACGAAACACAGGCGGTTAGAGAAAACTCGGTCGAAGGTAACGTCCACTTGCTACTCAGCTTGTTTTGCGATTGAATCATGTCTGTCTTGCCTTGTTTTGGAAGGTCGTGAAGCTCTGCTTGCAGTATGTCAGGCGAAAGGCGAGGCCCCCGCGGCACGCTTTTCCCGGCCATTCTAGCAAACAAGCTCGCGGTAAGCATGCTGTTCCCTGGAGTTTATGTGAGGTCAGCTCGCCAAGCTGGACACAGTGAACCAGCTCAATGACGAATTGACAACATTGCCAACACAAGCTGGGCCAAACTGGAACACTGACACTGGCCATAGTGCTTGTTAGTGAAATCTAAGCTAGCAAGGAAATGATATGACTGCTAATGAAATACACGTTCGTTTTCTGGTGTATGTGTATATATATATAGCTGTGTATATGGTAAATAGCCTGCTATGTGGACACACTGCGCCTATAGCTTGTTCCAAACAATGGTAGATGGATTCAAGTTATTTGCGGAAAAGTACTTCAGTTTTGACTTATATTGACATACATGTATGTGATTATATTTTGTGAAATAGTGCTATGACAGACTAAATGTTAGCCTAATGCATGCAATTCAGAACTTATATATGAGGGTCAGAGTAAGAAGATGGTCTGTGTACAGTAGATATACATTGGTCAGTACAGTAGATATACATTGGTCAGTACAGTAGATACACATTGGTCAGTACAGTAGATATACATTGGTCAGTACAGTAGATATACATTGGTCAGTACAGTAGATACACATTGGTCAGTACAGTAGATATACATTGGTCAGTACAATAGATATACATTGGTCAGTACAGTAGATATACATTGGTCAGTACAGTAGATATACATTGGTCAGTACAGTAGATATACATTGGTCAGTACAGTAGATATACATTGGTCAGTACAGTAGATATACATTGGTCAGTACAGTAGATATACATTGGTCATAACAGTAGATATACATGGTCTGTGTACAGTAGATATACATGGTCTGTGTACAGTAGATATACATGGTCTGTGTACAGTAGATATACATGGTCTGTGTATAGTAGATAAACATTGGTCGGTACAGTAGATATACACAAGATATTTTCACAACGTGAATCTGCAACGTTGTGAAATAACGTTGCACTTTAACGTTATAATAACGTTGTGACAATGTTATATCACGACGTTACCAATCCACAACCTTTCCACAACGTTGTGACAACGTCGTGTGTTAGCTGGGTATACATTGGTCAGTACAGTAGATATACATTGTCTGTGTACAGTAGATATACATGGTCTGTGTACAGTAGATATACATGGCCTGTGTACAGTAGATATACATGGTCTGTGTACAGTAGATATACATAGTCTGTGTACAGTAGATATGTGGTCTGTTTACAGTACATATACATGGCCTGTGTACAGTAGATATGCATTAATCTGTGTACAGTAGATAGACATGGTCTGTGTACAGTAGATACATGGGTCTGTACAGTAGATATACATGGTCTGTATACAGTAGATATACATGGCCTGTGTACAGTAGATACATGGGTCTGTACAGTAGATATACATGGTCTGTGTACAGTAGATATACATGGTCTGTGTACAGTAGATACATGGGTCTGTACAGTAGATATACATGATCTGTGTACAGTAGATATACATGGCCTGTGTACAGTAGATATGCATTAATCTGTGTACAGTAGATATACATGGCCTGTGTACAGTAGATATGCATTAATCTGTGTACAGTAGATATACATGGTCTGTGTACAGTAGATACATGGGTCTGTACAGTAGATACATGGGTCTGTACAGTAGATATACATGATCTGTGTACAGTAGATATACATTGGTATGTAACAGTAGATATACATGGTCTGTGTACAGTAGATACATGGGTCTGTACAGTAGATACATGGGTCTGTACAGTAGATATACATGATCTGTGTACAGTAGATATACATTGGTATGTAACAGTAGATATACATGATCTGTGTACAGTAGATATACATGGCCTGTGTACAGTTGATATACATGGGTCTGTGTATAGTAGATATCCATGGTCAGTGTACAGTAGATATACATTGTCTGTGTACAGTAGACATACATTGTCTGTGTACAGTAGATATACATTGTCTGTGTACAGTAGATATACATGGTCTGTGTACAGTAGATATACATTGTCTGTGTACAGTAGATATACGTGGTCTGTGTACAGTAGTTATATGTGGTCTGTGTACAGTAGATATACATTGGTATGTAACAGTAGATATACATGGTATGTATACAGTAGATATACATGGTCTATGTACAGTAGATATACATGGTCTGTGTACAGTAGATATGTGGTCTGTTTACAGTACATATACATGGCCTGTGTACAGTAGATATGCATTAATCTGTGTACAGTAGATATACATGGTCTGTGTACAGTAGATAATTGGTCTGTACAGTAGATATACATGGTCTGTGTACAGTAGATATACATGGTCTGTGTACAGTAGATATACATAGTCTGTGTACAGTAGATATGTGGTCTGTTTACAGTACATATACATGGCCTGTGTACAGTAGATATGCATAAATCTGTGTACAGTAGATATACATGGTCTGTGTACAGTAGATACATTGGTCTGTACAGTAGATATACATGGTCTGTGTACAGTAGATATACATGGCCTGTGTACAGTTGATATACATGGGTCTGTGTATAGTAGATATCCATGGTCAGTGTACAGTAGATATACATGGTCTATGTATAGTAGATATACATGGTCTGTGTACAGTAGATATACAATGGTCAGTACAGTAGCTCTACATGGCCTGTGTACAGTAGATATACATGGTCTGTAACAGTAGATATACAGTGGTCTGTAACAGGAGATGTACGTGGTCTGTGTACAGTAGATATACATTGGTCTGTAACAGTAGATAAACATGGTCTATGTACATTAGATATGCATTAATCTGTGTACAGTAGATGTACATTGGTCTGTAACAGTAGATATGCATTAATTTGTGTACAGTAGATATACATTGTCTGTGTACAGTAGATATACATTTGTGTGTACAGTAGATATACATTGTCTGTGTACAGTAGATAAACATTGTCTATGTTTATGTGCAGCAGATATACATGGTTCTGAACAGTAGATATACATGGGTCTGTGTACAGTAGATATACATGGTCTGTGTACAGTAGATATACATGGTCTATGTACAGAAGATATACATTGTCTGTGTGCAGTAGATATACATGGTCTGTATAGGAGATATACATGGTCTGTACAGTAGATATATAAGATGTGTGTACAGTAGATATACATGGGTCTGTACAGTAGATATACATTGTCTGTGTACAGTAGATATACATGGTCTATACAGTTGATATACATGGTCTGTGTACATTAGATGTACATGGTCTGTGTACAGTAGATATACATGGTATGTATACAGTAGATATACATGGTCTATGTACAGTAGATATATATTGTGTACAGCTGATATACATGGTGTGTACAGTAGATATACATGGTCTGTGTACAGAAGATATACACGGCCTGTATACAGTAAATATAAATGGGTCTGTGCAGTAGATATACATGTGTCTGTGCTGTAGATATACATGGTATGTATACAGTTGATATACATGGTCTATGTACAGTAGATCTACATGGCCTGTGTGCAGTAGATAGACATGGTCTGTATAGGAGATATACATGGTCTGTACAGTAGATATATAAGATGTGTGTACAGTAGATATACATGGTCTGTGTACAGTAGATATACATGGTCTGTTTACAGTAGATCTCCATGGTCTGTGTAAGTAGATGCTAGGAAAAAACATAAAAAGGCTTAAGAAACCATTTAATAAAATTGACAAAAGGTTCTACATTAATGGGGCTCTCAACCACCCATCTGGTATATTCAGGGAGTAACATGTGGTAGTTGCAGGTAAGATATTGAGCTCTATTCTAAAATTTCTTTTAAGTCCACCTATAAATGATCAATTGTTGACTGTTGATTAAGTTGTATCAAGTATCCATGATATCCAAGCTAGGTCATGTTGAACACTTGGCAACAGTGTGGCACATCATGTTATCATGTAGGAAGCTGTGCAGTACTTGTTCATGACCTGCTTCTACTCATGGCAGTGGACATATGAGTTATAGAAAGTACTACCATTCTAAGCCAAGGTAGATTAAGATCAGATACATGATAAATGCGAAGTGGTAGATGTGAATCATTCTCAATGTTATTACAATGTCATATGTACAACTTGAACCTAGTATTCATCAACACAAAAGCACAATACAACTTCAACAAGAAAACTGTGTCATTCTTTTCCCCCGTCATGGGGCACATTAGAAAATATATTAAACATTCGTTACCGGGACATAACTCGGAGACTGTATAATATTTAATTATGAAACTCTGCATATGTAGCAATCACATGCAGAACTAGTGCCTTTTGCTGTTTCCTTGGCAACAAGTTGGACTTGCATTACCAGAGCATAACTTATACATGCTATATACCATACTGGTTGTTGTGTTCATTTCTGGATGATTTTTTTAACAAACAACTTTCAAGTTTCTTTGGCAACAAATTTTACATATATATCAACGACAAATATTTACCATTGCGGGAGATGACTTTGTCCTGTTTGTTGCATCTCTCGGGACTCGCAATGTAAATTATTTGCCTCCATGCTTGATATGTTTGCATATAGGATGCAATATTTGCCTCCGTGCTCAGTATGTTTGCATGTAGGATGCAATATTTACCTCCATGCTCAGTATGTTTGCATGTAGGATGCAATATTTACCTCCATGCTCAATATGTTTGCATGTAGGATGCAATATTTGCCTCCATGCTCAGTATGTTTGCATGTAGGATGCAATATTTGCCTCCATGCCCTGTATGTTTGCATATAGGATGCAATATTTGCCGCCATGCTCAGTATGTTTGCATGTAGGATGCAATATTTGCCTCCATGCTCAATATGTTTGCATGTAGGATG